CCCGGCAAAGAGCACTGGGAAGCAGTGAAATGGATCTTCAAGTACCTCCGAGGTACGACCGACTTATATCTCCGATTTGGAGAAGGCAAAGCCGAGTTGCAAGGCTACTCAGATTCTGATTTAGGGGGAGACGTCGACTCGAGGAAGTCGACTACAGGATATTTGATGAGATTTGCCAGAGGAGCTGTCTCTTGGCAATCAAGACTTCAGAAATGTGTTGCACTATCTACAACTGAGGCTGAGTACATTGCCGCTACTGAGGCAAGCAAAGAGATGTTGTGGATGAAGAAGTTCCTCATGGAACTCGGCCATGATCAAGACAAGTACGAGCTGGGTTGTGACAATCAAAGCGCAATCCATCTTGCAAAGAATTCTAGCTATCACTCCCGCACAAAACATATTGATGTGAGGTATCACTGGATCCGGGATGTGGTGGAAGGTGGAGAGCTCGAACTCATCAAGGTGCACACTGACCAAAATTGGTCCGATATGATGACAAAGCCGGTTCCAGCAAGAAAATTTGAAGACTGCTGTGAAGGAGCCGGGTTGATGCTGAAGCCGACGCATTGAAGTCGGAGGGGGAGATTTGTTGGGCTTCCTCCTTCAATACTAAGCCCAAGCTCATTAGAGGGGTTTCCTAAAAACCCTAACCCTAATTTCCACCTCCTCTATATATACTCATTAGTTGTGGGTGGAGGCTAGGTCAGATTTGAGATGTCAGATTTGAGAGAATAAATTTGAGAGAATTATTTGATTGTTTGAGCAAAAGCTTTATGCTTTGTATTTGAGAGATCTCTAGAGAGAGTTTGAGTGAAACATCTCTAGGGTAGTTTGATTATCACCATTGTTGGAGAGGTTGAGTTAACCACCACATTGGTGTATTTGATTATTTGTAACCATTATTTTCATAGTGGATTTTTTGATCTGGACTAGGTCCCGTGGTTTTTACTTCTTCATTGGAGAAGGTTTTCCCACGTTAAATCTGGTTGTGTTCTTCTTCTCTCTCTCCTGTTTTCGTTTTGATTTTTCCGCTGCGCTGCCTGACCTGGTGAAGTTCAGGCTGAGGTATTGCCGAGATTCGAGATCAAGATCTTGTTGATTGACTTCCGCACAAAGGCCCCTGAGCCGAGCTTGAGGGAACCGATTTTTCCCGACAAAATGTACATATAAATGCATAGATTGTTGTGAATCGCCTAGAAGCAAATCTCATGCAAGATCAAATTTTTTGGTAAGCTGAATCAGCTTTGACATCTAAATTAAGAAATGGGATGCCTTCAAGTTCTAGAGGCTTTGAGTAACCAAAACTGAGTTAAGGATTAATCCAAGACCAAGGGAATGTCAATTTGCTAAGAACTGTAGCATGGCCTAGTCGTGTTTCTTTATTTTCATCCTTTTGAACTAGTCTGTTTTTTATTTTTTATCTTTAGAACATATAATATAGTAATTTTATTCTAACTTAAAATTTTGCTTTGCTTAATTTTTTTTAGAAGAATTATATTAATTTGTTACTTTATATATTATAAAATGTTAATTTATGTTAGACTGTTTGAACTTTAGCTTATATTGCCTTGATGTATCGAATTAGAAAAAATCTAATTAATGACTACAAGAAAGTTATATATGTTTTTAAATTTTCAAGACTATATGACACAACATTATTTTGTATTTGTTTTTTTGGTCAAACACCAGCATTATTTTAATCACTTAATTCAACTCTTCCTTTTGTAGCCATACACATCACTTGGCACTATTTTTAGACGCAAGTGATACACGTATGCTAATGCTGCCTTCAACTTTTTTAATGCACTAACAGCCAGAGGCGGAGCCAAGGCACCTGGTTTTTTTTTTTTTTTTTTTTTACTTATTATATAAATAATTATAAATAACTAAAGTAAAAATTATAATTTAGCACCACCTGATTAAATAGAACATCAAATACTTAATACAAAGTAACAACAAATCATTTAAGTGCAAACAAATAATAAGAAACATGTATAATATGATTATTTTTGTGTTTTACCTTTTTTTATTTTTTATCTTGTATAATTGTTTTTTTACAGCTTCTAATCAATTATGTTAATTATTCTTACTACTATTATTTTAAAAAATAAAGACTTCTAAACTTAATCACAAAAATGATTAGTTAATTTATTTTAAAATTTGGGTCCAACTAAATCAAATAAACTCATTTAAAAGTAGAAAAAATGGTTTGTCTTTTTAAAGGACATGAGATTGTATCCTTTTAGTTTTTGACACTATATTTTACCGGTAAAACATAGTTATAATATGAAAAATAACTTTTTTATTTTATTTTCTCAGTCACTTCAGCTGACTTGGAGAGAGAGAGAAAATAATTTTCATGTTATAACTATGTCTTACCGGTAAGACATAATGTTAAAAACTAAAAGGACACAATTGTATCTTTTAAAAGGACAAACACTTAACCCTTGAAAGTAACAATCATGAAACCAAATGAATAACATGATTATAATTATGAAATACGAAGGTAAATTGAACTGTTGTGTTTTGGGTTATTGCACACACAAAGAATATAGTCAAAAACCTAATTCCCAAATGTGAGAATTTTTCATCGTGCTTATGGCTGTTGCAAACAAGTGTGATGTTCTCTAACGTGAGATATTGAAAATCTAAGGAATAAAGATAATGAAAGAGAAGACGAAAAATAATGCTTATTATACATAAAATTATTATATTTGTGTGTTTTCATATCCTTAGAATAATGTTTGGTTCATTACTTATTATATTGTGGGAGGAAAGTGAAATTTTTATGTTTGAAATATTTACCGAAAAGGTTAATGCATTTTTATATGTCTGCTTTGATATATAATCAACGATAATTGTTCATTTGAATTTTTAATATTATGTGACATTATTTAGTACATAATTTAGATAATTATGTTAGAATTCATAGTAAATTTTTTCTTGATAAATTTGTGTAATTATCATAAATATTTTGATAATTTAATATGTCAAATTTTTTAGCACCGCTTAAACTTTTGGGTCCGCTCCGCCACTCCTAACAGCTTGCATGGGGAGAGTAGAAGAAGTGGAAATTATATGAGCTACTAATTAACACTAACTAGCGGCAATAAGCTATATGATTTGAATTAAATGTTTTTTTTTTAAGAGAAAAGTAGTCTCTGGAAAGAGGGACAAATGATCATATGTCCGCAGCAAAAGGCATGCCATACGAAGCCTCATGCATGAGTGCTTACCATCGGCTAAATGGCCTTTAGTCATCAGTCATTACGTACATTTAATAGTAGATATAATTGGGGCCTTGCCCCTTTACTGTACCCCAAAAAAAAAAAATAGATATAATTTTGTCACATCCCTAACTTTTTAATAAATGATTAAAACGTTGATTTTTTTATTGTTACTTTTTTTTCTGAAATCTTTTTCAATTAGATTTTTTTTTTAATATCATCATAAATCCATTACTACATTATTGGTTGATCGGTTGATAGAATGCTTTGGAGTGTCTAATATTTAAGTAGATGTATTAAGGGGGCTCTTTCACTCATTAGGGGTTTTTATTCCTTTAATTTACCAATTTGATATATGGTTCAAGATATTTATGAACGGAGGTCATTTAGTGACGCGAGGGGGACTCAGCGTCACTGAGTGCCGCTACCAACCCCCCCCCCCCCGCGTCACTCACAACTTTTTTTTTTTTTTTACTTTTTTCTATTGAGTGCCGCCCCCTCCCCTATGGCACTCACAAAATTGTGCCAAGTGGCACAATCTGGTTACTCCTATTATCGTAAAACTTCGGAAAGCCATAACTTTTGACTCGGGTTTTCAAATTAGATGATTTTTTTTATTTCACATAACTTTTCGAGATCTATCCAATGACACCTCATTTGTTATATTTTACCTTTCATTAATATAGTTCAAATTTGCAACACTAATTACACTTTTTTACAGATTTGAATTATGTTTGTGAGAGATAAAATATGTTAAATGAGATGTCATTACGTAGATCTCGAAAAGTTATGTGAAATAAAAAAAATCATCTGATTTGAATACCCGAGTCAAAAGTTATGACTTTCCGAAATTTTACGGTAATAGGAGTAACCAGATTATGCCACTTGGCACAATTCTGTGAGTGTCCCGGGGGAGGGGGCGGCACTCAATAGGAAAAAGTAAAAAATAAAATAAAAAAGTATGAGTGGCGCGGGGGGTTGATAGCGGCACTCAGTGACGCTGGGTCCCCTCGCGTTACTAAATGACCCCTATTCATAAATACCTCGAAGCAAATACTAAATTGATAAATTGAAATAAAAAAAAAAAACCCAATTGATCAAATTGATCAAAGAGCCGTATTAAGGGGAAGTGATATAAGGTAAACGGACTTAAAAATCTTTACAAACCCATTCTTTTAGTTTCCTTTTAGAAGTTTTAATTTTCAAAACTTTAATCAAATTCACTAAAAATATTTTATGGAACTAAACTGAACAAACTTAAAGTTTGAAAGAAACTCATTTGAGTATTGGATATGCAGTTGTTTAAAAAAATTAATAATAAAATTTTATTATTTTTGTGGCCTTATACATTTCAATTTGACTAATCGGATAATCGATGAATTTATTAAAAATTATTTTTTTTTGAAGAAACCAAGCAAACTTGATTGTCAAAATCAATTTGATCCGATTGGTTTTGATCGATTAACACTTCTAACTGAAATTATTATTATTATTTATTAATTGATTTTTCATGTGAAATATAATACTTGTTATATTTAAAGTCCTTGGAATTATATAAAATGCAATACTTATTAAATTAACACTGTAATATTCCTTGGAATCCAAAGGCCCCAATTATCATGGTTATGTCATATGTGCAAGCTTGCACTTTCTTGCCTATAAATACCCTGTGTTGGACTGTTGGTCCTATGATCACATTCATAGCCATAGCCCATTTAGGCATTGACTCACACATACATATAGTTATCTCAAGATTAGCTTTTGTGCATTTAAATGGCTGGGACTATAGTGGTTTTTGACTTTGACTCGACAATCATCGAGTGTGATAGTGATAACTGGGTACTTGATGAGTTTGGTTTAACTGAAAAGTTCTATCAGCTTCTTCCTAGCATGCCTTGGAACCCTCTCATGGTTTTATTTTTTTTCCTTCAGAGACAGTTGTTTTCTAGCTTATTCCTTTCCTTTTATGGATGTTAATTATCAAGAGACAAGAGGTATTCATTGTAATCCTTGTTATATTGAACTACACAACATTGGTGCTATTATATAGCAAACCAATTGAAGAATACAAAAAGACACACTCGATGTGGGACTTCTATACTATGTACACTCAATGTAGGACTTCTATACTATGTACAGCAATACTCCCCCTCAAGCTGGAGCATATAGATCGTATGCACCAAGCTTGTTACATATCTTGTCTATTCTAGGTCCTCTCAAAGACTTAGTAAATACATCAGCTAATTGATCATTTGAGTTGACAAAACGAGTGACTATATCTCATGAGAGAACTTTTTCCCTAAGGAAATGACAATCTATCTCAATGTGCTTAGTCCTTTCATGAAACACTGGATTTGAAGCAATATGCAAAGCAGCTTGATTATCACAAATGAGAGATGTTGGGCCAGTGTCTCCAAACTTGAGTTCCTTCAGTAGCTGTCTTAACCAGATGAGTTCACATGTAGCTGTGGCCATGTAGCGATATTCTGCTTCAGCACTTGATCTAGCAACTACACTTTGCTTCTTACTTCTCCAGGAAATCAAGTTATCTCCAACGAATACACAATACCCAGAAGTGGATCTTCTATCAATAGGAGAACCTGCCCAATCAGCATCTGAGTATCCTACAACTCTGGTATGACCTTTGTTTTCATAGAGAAGACCTTTGCCAGGAGCAGTCTTGATGTACTTGAGGATACAGATTACTGCATTCCAGTGATCTTCACAGGGAGAATTCAAGAACTGACTTACTACACTGACTGCAAAGGAAATGTCTGGTCGAGTAACTGTGAGATAGTTCAGTTTCCCAACCAATCTTCTATACCTTTCTGGATCAGAAAATAGCTCCCCCTGATTTGGTAAAAGCTTGACATTTGGATCCATAGGAGTATCAACGGGCTTAACATTTAACAATGTTGTTTCCTCAAGAATATCCATAGCATATTTTCTCTGTGATAGTACAATGCCATCTTTGGATTGGGCCACTTCTATCCCTAAGAAATATCGAAGTTTTCCAAGGTCCTTTGTTTGAAAATGATGGCACAAATGTTGTTTTATCTGAGTTATGCCATGAGTATCATTACCTGTAATGACGATATCATCAACATATACTACCAAATAAATAGAACCTAAATCAGAGTGTCTGTAAAAGACTGAGTGATCAGCCTCACTTCGAGTCATGCCAAACTGCTGTACAACAGTGCTAAACCTTCCAAACCAAGCCCGGGGAGACTGCTTTAGACCATACAAGGATCTTCGGAGACGACAAACTAGGTTAGACTCCCCCTGAGCAACAAACCCAGGAGGTTGCTCCATATAAACCTCTTCCCACTGATCACCATGGAGGAAAGCATTCTTTATGTCCAGCTGATACATAGGCCAGTGATGAATAGCTGCCATAGTAATAAAGAGGCGAACAAAAGTCATTTTCGCCACGGGAGAAAATGTGTCACCATAGTCAAGGCCAAATATCTGAGTATAACCTTTAGCCACCAAGCGGGCCTTAAGACGGTCCACCTGACCATCCGGACCAACTTTAACCGTGTATATCCATCGACAGCCAACAACAGACTTCCCAGAGGGAAGGGGAACCAGATCCCAGGTACCACTACTCTGAAGTGCACTCATCTCATCAATCATGGCCTGTCGCCAACCAGAATGTGATAACGCCTCACCTGTAGTCTTAGGAACAGATACAGAAGAAAGAGAAGAGAGGCAAGCAAAATGGGATGGTGAAAGACGATGATAACTCAAATTTATTAAATACCTGGGAGGGGGACGAGAATCACGAGTACCTTTCCGGAGTGCAATGGGCACATCAATGTCAGACGGAAGGATCGGAGCTGCCGGAGGAGATGATGACGGAAGTGAGTCCACAGGAGCCTCAGTAACAATAGGGGCAGACTTGGGGGGCAGGGTCCTGGGGAACAGGGGGACGTTGCCGACGATGATAGACCTGGAGGGGGGGAACAGGGGCGGGAACAGGGACGGGGACATCTAAAGAAGGAGATGGTGAAGGTATATAGTGAACTGAAACAGGTGGTAAAGGTAGCTGAGTAGTAACAGAATCACTGGGATGGGAGGAGGAGTCAAAGAATGGAATAGACTCAAAGAATGTAACATCCGCCGAGACAAAGTAACGACGAAGACTAGGAGAATAACAACGATAACCCTTTTGTGAGCGAGGGTAACCCAGGAAAATACATTTATGTGACTTAGCAGATAACTTGTCAAGACCAGGACTGAGATTGTGGACAAAACAATTAGAACCAAAGATGTGAGGAGTGAGTGGGTACAAAGGTTGATGGGGAAACAACACAGAATGTGGTACCTGAATATGAAGTACGGAGGAAGGCATCCGATTAATGAGATAACAAGCTGTGAGGACAGCATCGCCCCAATACTGGAATGGGATATGACCATGTAACAAAAGTGTCCGAGTAGTCTCAATTAGGTGACGGTTCTTGCGTTCAGCAACCCCATTCTGTTGAGGGGTGTGTGAACATGATGTCTGGTGAAGGATGCCGTGAGATGCAAAGAATGTTTGAAACTGATGAGACAAATATTCACGAGCATTGTCACTTCGAAAAATGTGAATCGAAACACCAAATTGAGTAAGGATTTCATTAAAGAACTTGTTAAAAATAGAAAACAATTCAGACCGATTTTTCATTAAAAATAACCAAGTACATCAAGAATAATCATCAATGAAAGTTACAAAATATCTATACCCCATAGTGGAAACGGTACGACTAGGACCCCAAATATCTGAATGAACTAAAGCAAAAGGAGACGAAGACTGACGACTGACACGATCGGGAAACGAACTACGAGTGTGCTTCCCTAACTGACACGACTCACAAGACAAACTAGATAAATTTGAGAAACGTGGGACCATCTTCTGGAGCTTAGCAAGATTGGGATGACCCAACTGAGCGTGGATAGTAAGCGGAGAATCCACAACAGAGCACACTGGAACAGAAGTTGAAAGCTGATAAAGGCCATTGGACTCAGATCCGACGCCAAGTGTCCTCCTCGAGCTCCGATCCTGCAAAATGACAGACTCTTTAGTGAAAGAAATAGTACAGTCAAGGGATTGAGTCAAGCGACTAATGGAAATAAGGTTGAAAGGAGAATGAGGAACATAAAACACATTCTCAATGAGAATAGAAGGAAAAAGGAGAACAGTGCCAATCCCTTGGGACTGAACCAGTGACCCATTAGCCATAGTGATATTGGGCAAGGGACCAGACGTACAGAGAGAGGTAAATAAAGACTTATTACCAGAAATATGGTCAGATGCACCAGAATCGAGAATCCATGGACCAAGAGAGGGCGAGTGCGAAACACCAGCAAAGGAATTACCCGTGTGTGCACTAGAGGCAGTGGTACCAGGAGGTGGCTGTGATCCAGCAATCAAGGCAGAGTTCGAGGCAACAGTAGTCTGAGCAAAATGAGCGGAGCGAGGAGGGCGACCATGAAGATCCCAACAACGATCAATAGTATGGCCCGACTTTTTGCAATGAGTGCAGAGAAAGCGTCTCGTAGAGGGTTTGCATCCACGTGCAAAACCCTTGGAGACAAGGACAGATGGGTCAACTGAAGAGGGAGCAGATACTGCAGGCTCCATAGAAGTCTTAGGTGGAATGCGAAGCAACGTAGACCAAACAGAGTCAAGCGATGGAACAGTAGTAGAGCCCAAGATCTGATCCCGGTTGACAGAATATGCTGGGGGCAAACCATAAAGAGCCATGAGCATGAAGAACGTGCTGCGTTGCTCAAGTTCTTTAGCAGGATCTGCAGCAGGCGGCAACAGTTCATTGAAATCATGAAGGAGGCCCTGAACTTTTCCCAAGTAAGCAGACATAGAGACATCAAGTTGTTGAGCAGCAATAGTAGTGATCAAATTTTGACAAACCCCATAGAGTCGCTGAGTGTCATTGGTATAAAGTGACTTGGCCAAACGCCAAACAGACTCACAAGTGACGTGAGCACGAAAAATCTGCTTCAAGGACGAGTGGATGGTAGACTTGATGATGCTACATAACTGAGCATCAACCTTTTTCCAATGAGGGCGTACATATACCGAGATGGACTCAGCCTTAGTAATGAGATGGTCAGTGTAGTCCTGTCCATCAAGCCAAAGTCGGAGATCAGAAGCCCAAGAATCATAATTGGAGCCATCCAACTTGTCGACGTGCAGCGGAACATTAACATAATTAGAAAAAACAAGCGGGTCATCCTTTGAAGAACCCTTGGATGCATCGTGGGGTGACAAATCAGCCATGGGTTACCTGAAACAAAAATGAACAGCAACGAAAAGCAAAGAAACGTCTGTGAATAGTGACCAGCAAGGGAAAAGACACCGTAGGAAGCCGAAACGAAGTCGAAACAACAAAGTGAGGACAGATCCAAGTGCGCAAGGAGAAGACGAAGGGAACCGTGGTGGTACGACGGCCAACCGGAGTGGGACGCGCCGCTGCAACAAAACGGGTTGCAGCCGCTGTTTGACGCGCGTGAGAGCGCGTGTAGGAGGTTCTGAGGATGGGTCCTGGACAGAAAGGAGCGCCTTCTCGTGGCGATCAGATCGATATGTGTTTCACCGGAAAACTCGTCAGAGACGGCGGTCAACGGCGGTGGACAGTGGTGCCTAATGGCGGCAGTGATCAGACAGGTCCGTAGACGATATATTGAAGCCGGAAACTGACAGATATGACTGTTTCTGGAAAAAAAAAATATTTTACTCAGCAGAAAGTGGTCCACCGGAAAAAAAAAACGCGGATTAGGATTCCTCTTGTTAGGCTCTAGATACCATGTTAATTATCAAGAGACAAGAGGTATTCATTGTAATCCTTGTTATATTGAACTACAAAACATTGGTGCTATTATATAGCAAACCAATTGAAGAATACAAAGAGACACACTCGATGTGGGACTTCTATACTATGTACACTCAATGTGGGACTTCTATACTATGTACAGCAACAATGGAAATAACAGTTGTTTGTCCTAAAATTTTGCAGGATATGATGATGAATGAACTTCATTCACAAGGAAAAACCATTGGAGACATTGTACAAGTTTTGAACAAGACTCCAATGCATTCCCACATTGTCCTAGCCATTAAGGCAGCATATTCCCTTGGGTACTCTTCTCTATTTCTATTTTCACTCTTCCCTTATTTGATGTAAGATGTACCTAGTAGGAGAGAAAGGTAAACAAATGGAAGATGCTAACACCTAAGATGGAATTGTATTCAGGTGTGAGCTGAAGATTATGAGTGATGCAAATATTTTCTTTATTGAAATTTTTTTGAAGCATCATGGAGTGTGGAATTGTTTCTCAGAGATCAATGCAAACCCCAGCTATGTTAATGAAGAAGGGAGGCTCAGAATTTACCCCTACCATGATTATCTAAAATCTTCTCATGGATGTAATCTTTGTCCACCAAACATGTGCAAGGCAATTGCACTAGCTCCACATATCTATTTACTTATGGCCAACTAATTAATACTCATATTTATTCTACTTGTATAGTTAATCACTTCATAGATTATGCATAATACATCTATATTTAGTTGTCATTGGAGGAAGCTTTGGTCAACTTTTCTTTTGATGATATTGAATTATTTCACTGTCCTTATTATTGACCACACATCAGGCTCCACTTTTCTGGTCTATGTCATAATCCAAGAGATCCTGATAACATAAAAGCAAATTATGTTTCATGAACCATGTACATGGAGCAGTTTCTGTAATAAATTAATAAATCATCCCCAAAACTAACTAGTTAAATTTTATCAATATTAATTACTAGCAAAAGTTCACCTTTTTGAAACTTTTCTCTTCTATTGACATGTAGGGATTGGTCATAGGAAAGATCCAAAATTCGGTGGGTGATGCAGAAAAGAAGAAATTAATCTATCTTGGAGATGGAAATGGGGACTTTTGTCCTAGTTTGAAGCTCAAAGATAGTGATCATTTGATGCCTAGAATGAACTTTCCACTGTGTGATTTAGTATCTAAAAACTCGAATAAGATAAAGGCAGAGGTCCATGCCTGGAGAGATGGAGAAGAGCTTGAGCAAGTTCTGCTCCATATTATCAACAAAGCTATTGGTGAAAGAAACGGCATTAGTAGTTCTACTACTCCAACAACAATCTCAATTGATTGCAAGTTGGGGCCAATTTCAATTGATGCTCATAAGCCTTTACCTAAAGCCCGTCCTGTTCCTCATTAACTAGTAACTAACATTACAGAGGATGAAGGATGATATCAAAACTACTCTATTTCTAGTGGCTTGTCAAATTCTGCATGTTTCTTTTACTGTCTTATTTTTTTTTTTGCTTAAAATGTACCAGGCTTTGACCTGATTATTATTGATGATGAAATAAAATATATTATGTTGAATAAAAGTATAAATTTTTGTCTTTGGAATCTGAAGTTTCCACCACTCAATATTAAATTTATTCTAGGGTAACTGTTGGAATTAGTTTTGATTCTAGTTTATTTTCAAAGAAATAGTGCAGCTTGAAGGCTCACAATGTTAACTTTAGTGGAATTAATTCAGAACCTAAATTTAATTTGGATTTAATACTGACTCATTTTTATTATAAATTTTTTTTGTCATTATTTAATCATGTTTTCATATGTCATTAACAATATCTAGCTTCATAGGTTGTAGTTATGAAGGATAAATTTTTAATAATATGTAGAATTCTCATTATGATGCTGTTTTGCATGTTAGTATTTGCTTTCTCAAATTTTCTTATAATTTTTTTGACAAGATGGGAAGAGAAACAGCGGAGGGCTTCGTGGCTTCGACATAATCAGCAAAGTTTACAGAAACCTCCCCCAATAGCCCCTGCATAGAACCCAGAAATTACATCACATTCTGACATAAAATACAACTTCACAAAAATAAACTAATTAAAAGTTAATGACGGAGAGAAAAAATTCATACCGTTGAAATATATAATTGGATGGTATAGTCTTTTCTTTTTTTGGTAGAAGGATGGTATAAGTCTTAAATATTAATCCTACAATAATTTTGAATAATTTATGTAAAAATACGAAAATTACTTAGGCAAGAACCAAGAGTAATAAAATATAACTTTTAAGATTACCAAAAAAAGAAAAATAACTTTTAAAAACTTGTACCAAACTGTAGAAATACTTTTAACTTTTAAACTACAAAATAATTTGAAGGCATGCCCACCAAAAATACATCAAATGAGCGAGGAAATCCATTGTATCCAATTTCCCTCGATTGAGAGCGATATTTCTGTGGTACGGGTGCAAAAAAAATCTGGTGAGCCGAGATGAGAGAAAGAGAAAAAAATTGAGGAGAGAGGAGAGAACAAAAAAATTATCCATATGTCAATTTTTTAGTGGAAGGACCAAAGTAATCCTGAAGTATATTAAAAATTTCCCTCGATTGGAAGATGCAAATATGGCTTTTAGGTAGTCAAGATTTTGGTCAATGTTTAACTAAAAGACCCAATATTTCTTTCCCCCTCACTATGCCCTGTCCAATATCATTAATTTGTCATCTTCTATGTTTTCCAATAAAAAAATAAAAAAAATATGGTTGAGTACTTGTTTATAGAGGTGAAAGTGGACTGGGCTGGGCCAAGCTTTATCCCGAAAAGCCCAAGCCTACATAAAAAAATTTAATTTAGCCTGACTCAAGCCTAATACGAGTCTAACTGTTAGTCTGGCTTTGCCCGTTTATAAAAAAACAAATGGTCTGGCCTAGCCCGTTAGCCTGTTAATTTTTAACTTCCAAGCATAATCATGAATCAGCTTTACAAAATACTCAAATTCTATTGCTAAACCAAAAATCATAATTTCAACGTCCAAATAAAATCATGAATCACAACAAAACTCATACAATATGCATTTAAGTCATTTTCAAAAGTAAAATGCTCAAACTAAATAACATATATTTCATCAGATCTAACAAACAAATACATATTATGTAAATTAAAATAACTACATGAATCCAACAAACATGTCACAATGTTTGTAGTAAGTATAACCTCTCCGAACAATCTTTTAATATATTCATATACACAATCTAACATTTGAGATGTTGGTTCCTCTTATATAAGAAATAAAATCAGATTTCTATTAAAATATAATCGAATATAATTAAGTTATAAATAATTACAATTGATTAAATTTATATCTTTTTATTTTTTCTTCAAGGCATACTTGCTCTATTTTATATTATTTAAAATAAATAGTATAATATAAGCTGGCCTGTAGGCTTATAGGCCAGGTCTTGCGAAAGTGGGCCTACGGCCTTTTTATTAAACAAGTTTTTTCAAAGTCCAAGCCCGACCTATTCTACAAAATATACTAGGTTAGGTCTGACCTGACGTAGGCCGACCCGGCCCAGTTTCACCCCTACTTGTTTAAAGTAAGAATTCAATTGAATCATGAAAAGCTATATGTCTTCATTCAAATGCACCATTTTTCCTTATTTGCGTAGTGTGCCATGCACTAAACCACCTTTTTCTTGCTTTTGGACGTAATGCAGGACATGGTTGGATCTCATATAAGAAAAGAGGAAAGCAAAAAAGCAAGAAAATAATGTAGATTGGGAATAGGAGTGAACCAATAACTCTAGGCAAGCAGCTTTAAAAACATTATTTGGTACGTAGTGCTTGTCCTTTAATTGTCCAAAATTTCCTACTTTGTTCTAGACCCTTTTTTTAAGGAATTGATGTAATTCTTGTTCAATAAATCTATCGTGTAGACGTGAGTTCTACGTAAGACATCCCCTTAATTATAGTGAAGAACAAAAACAAAGTGTACAAGGTAATTTATTTATATTGAAGAAACATGACATCTAATATTTTATACTGTACAGGCTATCAAAGTGTTAAATATTCGGTAAAATCCCAGAGACCTAGAGTGAAGTTTCTCACCGGAATTTGCTCGAAGAAATTTAGGGAGTGTTGGTAGGAGAGAAAAAAATTTTTACTTGAGAATTAAAATTTTCGAGAATATGATGGAAAAATGAATTTTTCAAAAATGTTATCAAAATATTATTTGGTAGGCAAAAATATTTTCGAAAATATTGGGTCAATTTTACAGATGGTATGTTTGGTTAATTGTAAAATATTGATGGGAATATGAAATAATTTTACAAAAATGCCTTCGCCTTCATTCTTTTCTTCAACACTGTTCATTGTTCAAACACACTGCATCTAACCCCATCATCGTTCTAATTGATTTCAAGGAACGTGCTATGTCCAGAGCCACAATCCAACCCGCACTAGAGAACCACAACAACAACGCACAACGATTCTTGACACGTGCAGCAAATTAGACCCCAAAAAATTATTAAACACAAAAGGATCCAAAGAAAATATATCAAGATCCGAATTCATTGAAAATAGCCATAAATTGAATTCAGTTTTAGATTGATAGATTTTGTATTTGAAGTATGACAGCCATATCTGAATTAGGTCCTTTCAAATACAAAATCTATCAATCTAAAACAGAGAGCTGAGAAGCAAAATTTCTGATGATGACCTCCAGTGACCACCCACTTGTGTAGCACATTTACATAAGCATTTCTTGGTTTTATTTGTTGGAATTCACATCTAATGTCAATTAATTGGTAGATATACGGGATAACAAATATTGTTTTCTGCTATAAAGAACAGTTAAGTGTGATAACATTAACATTAGCTATGATGACATTTCAATGACACTTTATTGATATGCAAATTGCTAAATTCTCACACCATCATTTTCAAATTTAAGGGCACCATCATCATCTGTTCTTTTATGCTCACGATGTTTTGGACTTGACTGGAGTAGGAAGCAGCTGTATTGCATAAACATGAGATCCTTGTCAGTGAAACTGATACTCCAAAGCATAATTGCAACCAAAAAAAGAGAGATACCTAAATAGTCCCGCCAATGGTCTAGAAGAATATAAATCCTACCAAAGTTTCATGTGTCCTTGAAAGAACTCTAGCACTTGTCAAAGCAGGTATTGATATAGTGGTAGCAATTAATATTCTTCAATTGGTACCCAACAAAGTCACTCCCAGAGTTACCGGAGCCTTTGGATTTGTTTCATCTCTAATATCTTGCTATCAGGTGCGTGCTAGTAACATTATGGTTCACTTCCCTCTTTAACCTGAAAAATTATATGTGTAACAATATTATGAAACCTTCCGCCGCCCTGGAAATCGAAAAAAAGAGAATTAGTATACAAAAAATGAAAACGAATTCATAGCAATTTGTTTATAAAGTAAACAAAAATAATAATAATACAACATTCGCTACACATACGAACGAAGAAAAAAAACAAAGGCAAGAACTACACAGCATGAAATACGATGAAACCTTTCGCCCTAAAAAACGAAAAAAAAAAAAGAATTAGTATACAAAAAATGAAAACGAATTCAGAGCATTTGTTTATAAAGTAACCAAAAATAATACCAATACAACAATCCCTACAAACACAAACGAAGAAACGGATCGGAGGCAAGCCAAAGTAAACAAAAACTAATACCAATACAACAATCTCTACAAACACAAATGAAGAAAGAAATTGGAGGCAAGCCAAAAAAAATAAGAAACACAACTTCTCTATTTATACAAAATGAATATGCCCAACATTTTCCAAGGCAGAAGGTAGTGGGATTTAGTTGCATTGAAAATTTGAACTGCCATAAAAGCTGCACCATTTTTCACGAAAATGAATTAATAACCCTTTTAATTTAAATTAATTTAGAATAAATTTATTTTAATTGAAAATGTTTCTAAATGAGGAAAAAATTTAAATTGAAGTAGTGTGAACACAAAGGTCAGAATGCATGAGAAAATGACACGTCAGCAAACTTGCCAACAAATGATTTTACTTTAGAATATACTAGTATATTGCCCGTGCGATGCACGGGAGAAAAAAGATCAAAATTTTTGTCGTCCGTCGTGGTTGGTTAATCAAACTACAAACCTTATACTTACAAAAAAACTGTGTTGCAATCTTTTTCTATATTTCAGGTGAAAAAATTACAGCAATGACACAGAACTTTGCAAATATTAACCATAAACAAAAATCTGCTATCCAAAGTGATCAATGTTATGCAAATAAAATATAGTTATCTACTCGATGAGTTATGTAAAAAATAAATACGACATAGTAGACTATGTTAAAATGAGGATGGCTAACTATAACAGCCACCAATAAAATCAAGGTAACAAACAGACCAA